ACTAGATTCGAACTATGTCGAGCTGGTACCTTGCGGCTTCATCAGCGAGCTCTTGCTCTTTCCCTCTGAGTGAGGATATATTCCAATTTCCGTTCAGAACGGGTAGCGACTCCGCTGCTGTCTGGTATTTTCGTCGTCGTTCCGTCGGTCTTCGTCAGCCGGTGTGGTGCTGCTACGTCCCCTGCTGTTAGAGGGCGATGAGCAGGTTCTGATCGCCGACAATTCGCAGTCTGCCTCAGTCCCCCAAGAGCCTGTTTGGCCCTTGCTAACCCGGGCTGCGACCGAGCTGGTATAATATTTTATGGCATCAATAAGATGAGTGGCAGGTGGCGAACTTTAACAGAGACTTCGCCACCGTCTGCAACCCTCCTCCTTTCTCAACCGGGCTAGGGACCGGCAACGGCGGAGTAAGGGGAAAACTTACGAATATATTTCCGTTTTCTTTTGGGCCCTTTAATTAAGTTAAGCGACACGCTAGTCTCTGAGTTCATCTCGGTTTTTTCAGACCAGTGTACGTCAGCACCTGGTCGTTTGTGGATCGGTGATGCCGTTCGGACGGTGCTCTTGGAAATACAGTGCTGTTGTAATCTATTGAAACGAGTTTCATGAAGCTTCATGATGGCAGACTAGCATCGCGAATACTGCTTTTGCATGTGACCTTCGTATCCTTTCTCATAGTCTGATTCTTCCATATGTCATACAGCCTGCGATAATTCGCTGGTACCAGTTCAACACGCAGGCTCACTTCAAGATCAACGTCGCCATTATTAACGAACACATTTCGACAGATCCTAAATGGCCCACTTCGTCCATGTTAATAACATTCCATAGTAACCTCGGACATACGGTCGCAAAAGGTGCCCTCGGAGTCTTCGTCTCCTTGTCGCTGACTTGTAGTCCCACTCCCATAGCTGTGTTGCCCACGCTTTTGGTGAATGTTTTTAGCCCCATTGTGGAATCGTTCAGAAGTACGATATCACAGGCTTACTCAGGGTATGTTCAGAATACAGTCCTCCATCTGGAGCCTTCGCTGATTATGGCCAATCTCTTGTCGTCGTCCCTTGTCGTAGTACGGGGCGACTCTGTTACTCTTCGGCATAACATAGTCCATATCATGACGTCAAACAACAAAGGAAGAAGAACCTCGCAGTTAAGTCGACTGTTGACAGTGATCCCATCACACAGCAATCCTTCGGTTCGGACGGCGCTTTTCATGCTTTCGTGAAGAACTTCAGTCAGGCCTATGGTCATGTGCGGAATTTAATAGTGTCGAATGATATGCCACATTGACTCACGATGAGTTGAGTCGAAGGAAATGCATGGAAATCGAGAAATATTACGTGCCAGGGTAATTGAAATCTTCTGCACTGCTTCATTATTCTTTTCGGCTCGAAAATGTTGTCTATGCAAGAGTGTCCGTTCCAGAAGCCTGTTTAACTTCTTCGTAATGAATCATCCATCCATAACATCCATCAGCCTTCTAAAGATAATCTATAGGATAATCCATAAACACCTTCAGCACAGAGAACAGTAATTTCTCGATCGTTTTGCAATCGTCGCAACTGCCAAATTTGAAAATCACATTTATTCCAGTCTTCGGAAATCACCAACTCCAGCCAAATCCAAACACAGACTTGAAATAAGCACTAAACTAACGGAACCTCTGACTGGATTTCTCGGATGTCGCTCGACGTAGTATGCAGTTGCAGTGAGCATTAAGTGGTTATGAATTCTGCAAATTTTGCTATCGAAACGGTCTCGATTCTCGTTGCACTATCGGAGCACACCTGAATAATGAACAGCATGGTAGATTATTGGATTCATTATTTGACCGTAGACACATGTTCAGTTGATCGATCGCTGACTGTAATTTTCTGAATTCGTTCCAGAAAACGGCTTGTTGCTAAGGAACGTCGACG